AAATTTAAATTATATAATATTTTTTATGAATACTGGAAAATAATAACTATAGCATCCCTTACTGAAACCTTAATAAATATTAACAGAATATATAAATAATTATATGCAGAAGAACACAGTTGGAAGGGACCTTGGAGGTCTTCTCGTTCTTGCGTCAGCAGCAAAGCTGTGTATAGCAGATAACAATAATTCTTCTAAGTAGCCATAAATAACAGTGACTTGAAAACATTTGGGCAGCCATGAAGATTTGTGAGTAAATTAGAATTAAGTTAGATTTTATAATCTGTGGTTTGATATTTCCTTGAGTGAAGGTGAAGAAATCATCCTCAATTATTGGAATAGGGAGAAATTTCTCTAACATTTCCAGTAAGGTAAGATTGCTGTTTACTTTACAGTCTTGCAAGTGATTTTTTTTTTAAAAAAAGCCATGAAAAAAGAAATATTGACCTCTTGAGCAAGTACCCTCTAGTTACCATAACACAAGTCTCTCCCCGTAGCATTTTTTCTACCATATCTCATTGCTCCTTAAGCACTCCAGAAATATTTGGTGCTTTTCCAAAGTTTTCTGCAGCTGTCTACCATAGACTTCCTTGGGAAGAATGCAACATCATTTCACAACATGACATTCTGAGAAATGTGATTGGCATGAAGCAATGTGAGCATCTCCAACTACAATTCTGGAAAGTTTGAGGTGATACATTACTTAATATTGTTATACTTCCCAAAAATCTCAAGACATGGAGGAAGCTTCAGCTGCAGTGAGCAGTTAATGTTGGACCAAAAGAATTAAATTAGCTTCTATTACTTATGTGACAATTCTTCAGCTAATTCTGATAGCTACTGTTTAAGAAGACTCTAACCCACAATCTGGAGACTATAAGGATCTGGATAGGAAAAAACAGATTTAGAATGAATTCCAGAAAGATGAAACAGTTGTGAATTTAAAAGCCAAACATGTTTAGAGATAGTCTAACTTTAATTTTGGCAATGGTGCACTGCCCTGATTGGACCTGGCTTGTAATCTGTGGGTCCTCTTGGATTTGGGCCTCTTGTTTAAACAGCAGGTAAAGGCTGCAACCAAAAGAGATGTGGTTAATGACAACTTATGAACCCAGTTGCAGACATTTCTAGAATTTCTAGAAACAACATTAGAGCTCTTTGTCCAGAAAAGTGGACTACCTCAAACTCTGGTAGAAGACCCAAAATTTATACTGCATTGGTAAAACAGCACTTGGAATATTGTGTCCAGTTTTGGTTGCCACAATTCTCCAAAGCACCTGAGGGCAGGACAAGAAGTAATAGATGAAAGCTTATCAAAGAGAGATCCAACTTAAAATTAAAGAGAATTTTCTTGTCAGTGAGAATTAATTAATCAATGGAATGGCTTGCCTCCAGAAGTTGTGGGTGCTCCTTCAGTGGAGATTTTAAAGAAGAGATTGAACAGTCATTTGCTCAGAATAGTATTGGGCTCCTACTTGAGCAAGGCATTGGAAAAGGGGACCTCCAATGTCCCTTCCAACTCTGTTATTCTGTTGTTATTCTGCTATTAGGACACATACCATCCTTAGAGATGAAAAGGAAGTCATATATATATTCCAAAAGCCAGAGTCTATAAAATGAATTACTGGCTATTGATTACAATTAATCATCCAGAGTTGCCTTGGGATAAGATGGGCACGCAATACATTTAAAAATAAACAAACAAACAAACAAATAACATTGCCTGTGCATTATGGTACCCCATTTATAGAATAGAATAAATTATCTACCTGTACTCTTTCTCATAACCCAGAGAAATGCGAAGTATAAATGCGCACATCCCCTCTCTTCCTATAACAAAATTAAAAATAACACCTGATAGAAATGATAAGAGGATTTGTTTGTTTGTTTTTGGAATGTATGTGGTAATTGAACTGCAAAAGGAAGAGAAGTGGAAGAGAAAAGAAACCTGGATGGAGCTGAAGCAAAAACCAGAGAAGGGGGGAGACTGAGAAGCCCTATGCAGACATTTTAAAAGGGCAAAATCCACAAAGCAAGCAAAAGGATGTGCCCTACACGTTTAACCTGCTGTAATAACTCATCTTTACAAGCATCCATGTAGTTTTCAGAAGTGATACCCGCAGTTAGTTCTACATCTACCCTTTCTCTCTCCTCTCCTCCAACAGTGCGTTTCATTCTCAGTGAATTAAGAAGAACTTAATTTTTTTTTATTTTTTTTTTTGGGTGGGAGGAGGATAAATTCCAAACTTTTCAACTAAGTAAAAGTGGTGTATATGGAAGCAACAATGTATGCAGTTTTGATTGGGAGTTTACCTACATGCTGGTAATTACTGAAGATTCCTTCCAAATTTTTTGTTGGTCCTTTACCAACTCTAAATGGAACATTGTTTATTATAGTCATGGGGGAATTGAACATCCATTTAGAACTATTTGTCGTGATGATTTGACAAATAATCGTACATCCTTGGATATAAAATGAACAATAGCATCCCATGTCAGGAAGTGTTTCTAATCATATATCTGATGACAAGATGTCTCTTGCAGAATTACTATATTCCATATAGTGTGGACACTTCATAGCTACCAGAGCTAATGATGTGTTTTAGGCTTTTTTTCAAAAATGGTCTCCAGCCGCTTACAAAGCACAAAGAATTCCCTAAAATTGAATTCAAATGTAGGAAAACCTAACAGTCTTACATTTCTGAGTCTCTTGTTGTTGCTCAACAGGGAACAATGACATCTACAATTGGTTTGATAACTCCATTTCATCATTTATTTATTATAAATTCTGGGCTCTTGATCATTCTGCCTTGTTGTCCCTTCATTGTTTTTATGGGTCTTAAAGAATTGTATTAAATAATAAGAATTTTGTTATTTTCACATTAGAAGTTTTTAAATCTCTGGGATGCCACGCTAGCAGTTTATCATACTTCATAGAATCTCCATGTTTACTTGGTCAGACTCCAAGCAAGAGATAGCTGACAAACTGCCTTTTGAGTTATAACAGTTAGTCTTTTCATTGTAAATTAATATTTATTTGGGGAATAAATTTTTTTTAAACAATTTAAATACAAATCTAGCTTACATTGGTATCCCAATAAGTATTAACACTAAAATAATTTTAAAACTTTAAAGCACTGAAGAAAGTGTGCATGTCTTCTGAAACATCAACAGGGGGTTCTGTCGAAATCTCTTGAGATAATGGAAAGAGATAATAATATGCTGAAAAACCTTTGCCCCTTTATCAATCTCTGGAGTGCATAGAATGAGAGAGACTCTCAGCATTAGCTTGAAATCGATAAACCAGGTAATTAGTTGTACCTAAAGGAAGCAATCCTATAAGATCCAGGTGCAAACAACAAACACATTTTAAACCCTGAATAATACACGGAAGTCTATTGGATGCCAGTGCAACACCTGCAGAACTGATGTTATGTGCACTGATAACTCTTACCCGTCAGCATGTGGGCTGCTGAATGTTTGTTTTGTGGCTTTGTTGTTTTGTTTGCTTGCTTTACATCAACTGTAATTTCTAAAGCCCTGTGTGGTAGTTTCTAGAACAGAAGTGTTAAGATGTAGATAACTATTGCCACAGCTTCCTGTTCCCCAAAGTGGTACAATTGGCAAACAAACTGCAACTGAGAGAAGGGCTCCCCTAGCCACATCCTTCACCTGGCTATTGAATAGTAGCAATAGCTCTGAGACTAGATGTATTCCCAAGTTGCAGACTTGTTCTTTCAGGGAAAGTATTTGGTTTCAGCTTCTTTCTCTCCATCCAGTCCCTTACCGTCTCCAGTGCCTGGTTCAAGACTTCTATTACATCCCTACTTTCTCCCAGTGGATCACATACAATTGAGTATCATCAGTATATTGCTGATGTTTCATCCCAAACTTAACCATTTCCAAGTAGACATTTAAAATCATGGGAGCAATTCACAGTCCAACGGTGAATATTCATTCACCTGTATGACTCCTCTTATCTCGTTGTAATTCACTGACACCATTCATTGAGGAAGAAACACTGTTTCTTAATTCATTCGGAGCCATGAAGCACTTACAGGAAATAATGGTCTTCCCACCTTGCAGAGGTTATCAGGGGTATGAAATTCAAGAACAGTAATTTGATCAAAAATAGATTTGGATTACCAGCTAATTACTTAAAGGTGAAAAGTAGACCTAAAATTTAACTACCTGTATGCTACATGTTTGTTATGACTTCCACAAATTCCCCAAGCCTTCTCTACCTTCTTTAGCTTCCCCAGACCATGAAGTTGAAGTCTTCCATCCCTTAAAACCAGAGGAGCTGTACCATTAGCCCTGAGGTAAAGTTTAGGAGCTTACAAAAGGTGTACAGGAAGGTGTGCAGTACACTGTCAGGTTCCCTAGGCTGTCTTTAATACCCAGAATCACAAATGTGATGATTTATGTATGAATGTATCCATTGTGATTTATAGACTATAAGTTATGGCATACATGTGAATCGAGTTGGTGTGGGTTCAAGAAAATATAGTTAAGCAGACTAAGGCTTAGTATCATATGTGATTTCCAAAATGTGTATTTTTCTTGAGGAAGGTTAATTAAAATAAATCCATTTAGATTTTATATAAATTTTCTATTTTCAAATAATCCACTTTAACAACTGTGAGAACATTACAACTAATAAAATATAATCCACTGATCCATGCTTATTCTCTCATTTAAACTGTGCAAGCTCCTTTTCTTAGTCAGTTTTTTTCCTTTCCATTCCCACTTCTCACTCAGTCTGTCTACGGAAGAAATCTTGAGAATTTAGATTTTTGATATAATTTTCATTAGTTCAAAAGTTCCCTGTTCAAATGTTTAATTTTCATTTAGAACTATATGGTTTACTTTTAACCTCTAATCTTTTCCATGTGAGATTTTCTTTCTATTTCCACAGGTGAGTTTTATCTTAAGAAATAGTCTATCAAACAAAACAAGGTCAGGAAATTAATCAGTGGAAAATGATCTGGTTTTCACAGCTGGGTTTGAAAAAGACAAGAGACGTGTTATTATAAAAGCAAGCAAAAACTCCACTATCACCTCACCATTTCACAGGAGAAGCAAGATGTGGCCTTTACTGTTTCTCATAGGTGCCACTTCAGCTTTTGCTGAAACAACGGTTCACAGATTTGATGGGTAAGTAAGAACACAAAATAATATTTCAGAACTTTTCAGAATAGCACAACAGCTTTTTTGTTATAAGTCATGTCTTTATGCTATTTTCTTTAGGGAAAAGGTTTACCGTGTTACACCTCGCAATGAAGATGAAGTACATTTGCTCAATTACTTAGCCAATATTGTGCAGGTAAATTCCAATATAGTATATGGTGGGAAAATATGCTTAAAATAATGTTCATTTTATAGCATGTCATACTAATAAAAGATGAGGTGACCCATTCATTGTTCTCACAATAAAGAGGGCTAAACTGGGAAAAGCAGCACATACTGACATCTGGAACTTTAAGTAATGGAACACAGTGATATTACCAAATTTGTGGGAGCCTTGGACAAGCTGTTTTTTGACAGATTCACCAGCTCTACAATCCCATATGGTCTCTTCCTTTTGGTTTAACAGCCATCAGAAAGAAACAAACAGGATCAATTTTAATTCTCCTAATATTTGTTGTCTTTACTCAATACTTCTACTAGCCTAAGGGAACGGGGAAAGGAGAAAGAAAAGGAAAGGAGTTGTTTTTTTTGTTATGGATTTTGTCTCTAAAAAGAAAACTGAGTGGAAATCAAATAACTAACAGATCCCATTTCATTCTCCAAGTTCTTTTTACTTTTTTAAGAGTTGTAGCAGCTCAACCCCAGTAACATTTTATTTGCTGTTTGGCATGGTAGCTTGAAACTACAAAACTTTCAGAAACATTTGTTTCTCCTAATCCTGATACAAGATTAGTCTCTCTGTACATTACAAAATAGTGAAGCATTTATTATTATGGTCACTGACTATAATTGCAAAGGAGAGGCAAGTAGCTAATCTCTTTTCCTTTCAAAAAGAACAGAAAGTACTACTTTGTTTACAATATCTGTAATCACAATGAGTCCTATGGAGCTCAAGAGCAATATCAGTATTGTTTGGAGCTTCTCAACATATCCAAGAAAATTATCAAAGAAATTTCATAGAATACTACATTCAGATAGGCATAATTCCATTATAACCAGTGACACTTACCCATAGTCCACGATTTACAATCATTTGTTTAGTAACATTCAAAGTTACAACAGCACTGAAAAAAGTGATTTATGATCATTTTTCACACTTGCAACCATTACAGCATCCCTGTGGCCACATGATCAAACTTCAGACACTTGGTAACTAACATGTATTTATGACAGTTACAGTGTCCCGGAGTCATGTGATCACCTTTTGTGACCTTCCCGCAAGCAATGGGGTAACAAGATTCACATAACAACCATGTTACTAACTAACTAACTGCAGTGATTACTTAACAACTGTGGCAAGAAAGATCATAAAATGGGGCAAAAAATCACTTAACTGTCTTATTTAGCAACAGAAAGTTTGGGCTCAGTTGTGGTAATAAGTCAAGGATTACCTGTATTCTTGAATAATTATGCATAGCACTGGCCTGTTGGAATAATCCAAGATCCTCTTCTTTTCAAGAGCTTCAAATGATGAATAAAGAGATATTGAAAGATACTTTCGCTGTGTCCCTGTACAACAGCTACAGTGCTCTTGCTGACCTTAATAGGGACATTAAGGAGACTGGTAAAGGTATTTGTGAAGATAACTCAAATAAGCAGGGGATTGTGGTCCGAGATGAAGAACTAGATTTTGACAGGGAGAAGTGTGAATCAGGTATTGCACATCAGTCATGCAAGAATAGAAAGGCTCCCAAAAAGAGAAGCTACCTTCTGGTAGGTGATTCAATTATAAGGGATGTAAATTTAGGAAAGGACACAGAGGCTTTGAAAGAGGTCAGGTGTCTTCCAGGTGCTACTGCCAGTAGGGACAAGAAGCGTATTTCTAAAATAATCAAGAATGGCAGCAAGGACTGTGATGTGGAGGCTATTGTACATCTTGGCACTAATGATCTGTCCCAAAAAGATGTACTCTCTGTGCAGAATGATTTCCAGAGCTTGGGGAAGGAACTTAGCAGAATAGGCTGTAGGCTTACTTTCTCAGAGGTTTTACCAGTGTATAAGGAGCAAAACGGAAAAGGCCAGCGCATAGCACAATTCAATATGTGGCTAAAGGAGTGGTGTAAAGGGGAAGGCTTTGGATATATTAGTCACGATGTCAGTAGCTGGTCCAATCAAAAGATGTACAAAAGAGATGGTTTGCATCCATCAAAAAAAGGGACTGAGTTACTCGGCTATAAATTCACAGATTTTCTGGAGGGAAATTTAAACTAAACAGCGGGGACAGGGAGTTAATTGATACGGAACAACCCTGTCCCCGGCAATTTAAAAACTATAGGGCTATCAGTGCATGTAGCATAGATGTGTGTGTGGACAAGAATACCAACCTTGCTACCAATCAAAATGAAGCCTCTAATAGCGAGTGCCATATGAAGTGCACTAACCAAATAGGTGGTAAGACAATAGGGGAACTCAGGCACCACACAGGTTATGTAGAAAGGAAACACAGGGCCACCCACAAAGGACTCAAATGTTTATACACCAATGCACAGAGTATGAACAGCAAACAGGGTGAACTAGAAATTCAGGTTAATGAGGGCAGATACGATATTGTGGCCATTATGGAAACATGGTGGGATGAAACTCACACATGGAACACACAGCTAGAGGGATTTAAATTATTTAAAAGAAACAGACCAAATAAAAGAGGAGGTGGAGTTGCTCTCTATATAAGAAATAACTACATCTCCACAGAAATAGAGTACAACAATGATAAAAACTGTCTTGAATGCATTTGGGTCAATATAAAAGGGGGGGCAAATGACATTGCCATAGGTGTATACTACAGACCACCCAACCAAACAGAGGAAATAGATGAACTTTTTGCTAGTCAGCTAACTAAGGTATGTAGGAAGCACATCACAATAGTAATGGGGGACTTTAACTACCCTGACATCAACTGGGAGACAAACTCCGCACCAAGTGGAAGATCAAACAGGTTCCTGGCAAACCTAGCAGACAACTTTGTCTCCCAAAAAGTAGAGAATGGAACTAGGGGATTAGCCATTTTGGATCTAATTCTCACTAACAGAGATGAAATGATAGACGGTGTTGAAGCCATAGGAACCCTGGGAGGAAGTGATCATGCAATATTAGAATTCAACATTATAGAAGCACAACCAATAGAACACAGTCAAACTAGAGTCTTGGACTTCAAGAGAGCTAATTTCAATAAACTTAGAGAGGGCTTGGGAAGGATTCCATGGATGAGAATCCTCAAGGGGAAAACAACTCAAGAAGCTTGGGAAATTTTGAAAAATGAGATAATAAAAGCACAGTCTAGCACAATACCAACAAAGAGGAAAAATAACAGCTCTCAAAAGAAACCAGCATGGCTGCATAAAGAACTCTCTGACAAATTGAAAGATAAAAAGGACAAGTATAGAAAGTGGAAAGAGGGGAACATAACTAAGTCAGAATATCAGCAAATAGCCCGAGCCTGCAAAGATGAAGTGAAGAAAGCCAAGGCTCAAAATGAACTAAGGCTTGCGACCAAAGTCAAAAATAACAAAAAAAGCTTCTTTCAACATGTAAAAAACAAGAAAAAAGTGAAGGAAATGATGGTCCATTAGTGGGTGGAAGTGGCAAGAAGGTGACAAGCAACAGGGAGAAAGCAGAACTATTTAACTCATTTTTTGCATCTGTCTTTACACAAAGGGAAAAAACAGACCAACCTATCAAAAATAGTGCCATAAAAAACAAAACAGAAACACAAGTTAAGATAGGCAAGAAAATCGTTAGTGAGCACCTGTCCAGCCTAGATGAGTTCAAATCGCCAGGACCAGACGGATTACACCCCAGAGTTCTCAAGGAACTGGCAGATGTGATATCGGAGCCACTGAACTATATTTTTCAAAGATCCTGGAACACAGGGGAACTACCAGAGGACTGGAAAAGAGCTGATGTAGTTCCCATCCTCAAAAAAGGAAAAAAAATGGATCCAGGAAATTACAGACCTATCAGCCTGACCTCAATACCTGGGAAGATCCTGGAAAAGATAATCAAACAACGAATCAACGAACACCTAGAGGCAAACAAAGTCATTACTAAAAGCCAACATGGGTTTGTCAAAAATAGATCATGCCAGACAAATCTTATTGCATTCTTTGACCAAGTGACAAAATTAGTGGATCAGAGGAATGCTGTGGACATAATTTACTTGGACTTCAGTAAGGCATTTGATAAAGTAGATCACAACCTACTACTTGACAAGATAGAAAAATGTGGGGTAGACAGAACCACCACCAGATGGATCCGTAGCTGGCTGACCGGCCGTACTCAGCGAGTGGTCCTCAATGGAACTGCATCTATATGGAGGGAAGTGTGTAGTGGGGTGCCCCAGGGCTCTGTTCTGGGCCCAGTACTCTTCAACATCTTCATCAACGATTTGGATGAAGGGATAGATGGGGAACTCATCAAATTTGCAGACGACACCAAGCTGGCAGGAATAGCCAACACTCCAGAAGACAGGCTTCAGATACAGAAGGATCTGGACAGACTTGAACACTGGGCACTAACTAACAAAATGAAATTCAATGGTGAAAAAAGCAAGGTTCTACATTTAGGCAAGAAAAACCAAATGCACAAGTACAGCATAGGTGGCACCATGCTCAATAGTAGTAACTGTGAGAGGGACCTCGGAGTCCTAGTAGACAATCACTTAAATATGAGCCAGCAGTGTGCTGCAGCTGCCAAAAAGGCCAACACAGTGCTAGGCTGCATTAACAGAGGGATAGAATCAAGATCACGTGAAGTATTAATACCACTCTTCAATGCCTTGGTAAGGCCACACTTGGAATACTGCATCCAGTTTTGGTCACCACGATGTAAAAAAGATGTTGAGACTCTAGAAAGAGTACAGAGAAGAGCAACAAAGATGATTAGGGGACTGGAGGCTAAAACATATAAGGAACGGTTGCTAGAATTGGGTATGTCTAGTTTAACGAAGAGAAGGACAAGGGGGGACATGATAGCAGTATTCCAATATCTCAGGGGCTGCCATAAAGAAGAGGGAATTAAGCTATTTTCCAAAGCACCTGAAGGCAGGACAAGAAGCAACGGGTGGAAACTAATCAAGGAGAGAAGCAACCTAGAACTAAGGAGAAACTTCCTGACAGTGAGAACAATTAATCAGTGGAACAGCCTGCCTCCAGAAGCAGTAAATGCTCCAACACTGGAAGTTTTTAAGAAGAGACTGGACAGCCATTTGTCCGAAATGGTGTAGGGTTTCCTGCCCGAGCAGGGGGTTGGACTAGATGACCTCCAAGGTCCCTTCCAACTTTACTACTATTACTATTACTATTGTAGGTTTGAACTGTTTTTGAGGTTTCTTAAAAGGAACTTAGGCAGTTTCAGAGCTATAACAATTTTTATGATAACACCATGGGTTATCTTATTCCTGTGATATTTATTCCAGAAATTTAAGAAATGCAACCAATCTTAATTTTTAAAGAGGCATTTGTCTGAAAAAGTATGTCTAATAATAGCATGGAAGGTTGACTATCAACTGCAAATAGAAATAGAAAAAACACATCTACCAGATGATAACAGCACACACAGGATTTTCTTGCAGGCACTATGTATAGGGCTGTTTTGAAAAACCATAAAAATACTATTTTCATCCGATTAATATTTTGAACAAGCTTTTTTTCCAGACTTAAAGCTCAAGAATACATAGCTGCAGTGCGCACATATTCTTCTTTTGTGATCAGTTCTTTTCCTGTAATCTTCCCTTAGTGTTATACCCCATATACAAGTGGGATTTTATGTTTATCCAAGCTGGCATCTAATTTATTTCCATATATTGCTCTGTAAAGCATCATGCTTTACAATCTTTAAACCAGTGCAAAATATTCTATCAAAAAGAATTAGGTACAAAATCTGCCTGTATATTTCTTGTCATTACTTTAAAATTTTAAATAAAAATAATCTCTGTCTCCCCCCAAAAATGATAGGCTGTGCAAAGAAATTGTGCCATCATGGAAAGAATTTCTGTTCTATGTGACTCTCTTAAAGGGTTGCTTATTGAATTTTCACTTATTATCAGCTTCTCCTGTTTGTTTTTTCCCCAAGAATGTTCAGTGAACCTCTTGTTCATTCCAAATTTGGATTTTGTGACCTTGATGTAACCATATTATGGCATGAGAAAGAACCATCAGAGATAGCAGATCTGTTTTCAATATTTACACTTAGCTTTGATGTTGAGAAATAGCTGCAAAGGAGAGGAAGGGACATTATAATCTTTATGAGACATGGCACTTAGCAATGATATACAGATGTCAAAAGGGCTTTTCATTGATCATAGAGCAGTTTTGGGTCTTTCCCATATCTAGCTCCATTCTACATTATAGTTTAAAAACTCTTAAGTTATGCTTTTCACATTTGTGAAGCTTTAGGCATTTTCACTATTATACTGTAAGTATATTCATAAACAAACTGTTTGATAGCCATCTGATGAGAGAACAGGAGAGATTGGTAGAAGCCATAATGACTTAGGATCCAGCTGCTAAGTACTTACAATGGTCCATAGGCCTCACAATTATAAGGACTCACCTCAAAAAAGAATATTTGGCCAGCTATAAGTTGTAGGTACCCATCTCTGGTCCTAGAAGTAATTGGAACTGATATACTGGAGTAGGGCCAGTGGGCTTCTAGTGCGTAAATCTTTTATCAGAAAAAATGCTATAATTAGAGAACCATCTCAGTTGGGAAACATTAAGTTCCCAATAATTTCAAAGGAGGCTACTTCAGTTATCATTCATATATCATAGTCTAAGCAAAATGAACATCACAAATTCCAATAACCTGAAATAAATAGTTTGGAATTGGTACTCAAAATTAACTAAAATTACTGAATCAATGTTTTATAAAGATCAATCTGCTTAAGAAAATGAGGAATACTGAAATGGAATTGGAGAATTATTCGTACAGCTTTTTTGTTTGTTTGTTTTGTTTTCCTTTCCTTTTCTATGGCCACTGATTTCCTAGTATGAAAGTGAGACATTGGCTAACATTCAAAGCTCTTAATTAATACTCAAGGGAGAAAAAAGAGAAAAGGAGACATATTGTTTCACATCCAGAAATTTCAAAAAGTCAGGCTTTTAAAATTAATAGCTGACAGATACCCATCTAGGGTCCAAAATGCTTCCTCCAACTCTTTTTTGGAGCATGCATAATCCTACTAAATATTTCCAAATATTTCTTCATTAACAATTCATAAAATTTTGCTTAGCCATAAATACTGGCAGATGCACATTGATTTCTTACTTATACATTTGACCATTAGATAACAGTCTTTAACATAAAGTATTTACAGTACTATATATGCTTTCTTGGCAATAAAAGGCCATTACAGTTTCTCATTTCCATGTAAACATTTAGAAATAAGCTATTCTTCCTTCTTCCAGATCATAACGAAAAACTATAATGAATTACTGTAGGTCTCATGTTTTACTGAATCTGACTCTCAAATCCTGGATAAACAAAATTTACCTTGGATTAGTCCTGTGACTGAATTGCACCAAAAGTCCTTAATAAAAAGCACCCATTTAAGGAATGGTATGATACAATCATGTGAGTGAAGTAAAAAAAAATATAAAAGATTAAATACATAAAGTGAAGCCACAACAAAAGTAAGGATGGAGTTATATGGTTATTTTTAATTGTTATCCTAGACAACCATATATGATCTAAGGAAAAAAGTCCTATTTGTCACGGCATATTTAGATAACAGCTGACCTTGTTTATGGATTACAGTGCCAGAAATAATAATATTTGTTCACTGCTTAGATACCAGGCACCTTTTAGAAATGCTTTAGTCACAAGAAGTCTCTATAGAACCATTCAGTACATCTAAATGAAAGGAGGCTATAAACCTCTAATTTAAAAGAATATATATGCCAAAATGAGGCAATACATTCATACAATTTTTGTTAATTTGTTTCTCGGTGCTAAAACCACCTCTGCATGTTAGTTCTCATTGGAAGGCATTACAAAGATTGTCTTGTGGATTCCAGTTGCTCTGAGACTTTAATATACAGACATATTTTTTCAACAAATGTAGAAATGATCCTTTTAATGGTCAAAATAATGAATTAGATTCATTCCATTTAGGATATTTATAGGACTGTATTTTCTCAAGTTGACAGTTCTCCTATATGTCACGTTATACAAATTTGGTTAGACTGGAAAATGGAAAACCCCTTGTATACAACCATAACTACATTATAGAATTATACATATTACCTAGAGAGAATAGGTAGAAAAGTAGAGGTGAGAGCTGATGAGTCTAAAACATATTAAGGAGAACTAAAGAAAGTTTAGTGAAGTAGCTGGATGTATTGGGATATATGTGAAGGAAGGAGTGCTACATTCAATAAGGCTGTGTATTCTTTGTAAATGGTTTGGATGAATGCTTCAGTTCTGAGAAATATCACTCTTCTAAACTAGATTAAGACATCAGAAAAAAAAATCTAGAAAAGCATTATGAGAAGCCATTGTTGCTAGGAAAACTATACAGACTGTCCATGAAATTAACTTAGAGAAGACTTTTCTATCATTACTAAAAGGTTATTGGGCATTTTTATCCAAATAATCTTACAATGCAACTTATGCCTGTTTTAATTCTTCTATTCAATAAATATCCTTCCACTACCATTTTTCTTTTTGAAAAATTAAAGTAGTCGCAACAGCAAGGAAATAAAATTCAAATCAGGTAAGCTAACGCATTTGACTTTGGCTATCTTCACAACATAATGACCATGTAATTCCCCAGGTAACTGACTTACCCTCATATGTCAGCAACATACAATCACTAATGATTCTGTGATCTTTCCGGGCACTGCAAAAGTTTAAAAGTTTGCAGTGATCCAGTTAGGGTCAGCGTGATGCAAATAGTGTTAGAAAATCCTTACTCTTCCTAACCTTGCCCTTTTCTGTGCTGTGGCCATTTCTAAATACCTATCACCATCTCATCCACTGCCAGGATCACCTGTGAATGTAATCTCTTGTGCCATTTCACAAAAATCAACTCGTGTGGAGCCAATATGTACTGAATGCAGGACTTATTTACTATTCAATGATGTAGCCAAATATTACTTTTCAGGCTTTTCCATGAGTCTAAATAAAATTTGGGTTATTTAAATAAAAAGGTGATTTGCTTGCAAAAACTCCTAACTATGTCTTCATCATTTCCAAAGTATATACATCCCTAATGTACTGTGGTTAAGCTTCTAAAGGAAATATACATATATTTAATAAAAAAAATTAGCAACTATATTTATTCCATTTCACCCCATAACCCCAAGGGACACTATAATAAAGGCACTGATGGAAATGTTTGAGCCAGCCTGAAATCCTGCATCCTTTTTGCCATGGTTTTCTCTGTTCAGGTTGACTTTTGGCGACCAGATTCTGTTGAACTAGTGAAAGCAGAAATGACTGTTGATTTCCGAATTGAAGCAGACAGATGTTCTGAAGTTGAGAGCATTCTACAGCAACATGGACTGAATTATGAGTATGTTTTTTGCAGTATTTATTTATTACATAACATATAGGCCAGTGATGACGAACCTATGGCACAGGTGCCAGAGGCAGCACTCGGAGCCCTCTCTGTGGGCACACGTGCCGTTTCCCCAGCCTTCCTCCCCCTGTGACCCCCTCCTCTCCAGTAGCCCCCCTGAAGGAGAGTCGCCCCCTGAACATGGAGCAGCGCAGCCAAGGACATGGCAGCCAGGCAGCATAGACAAGACTCTGCCCTCACACCCCATCATGCAGTTGTTGCTGCAGGGCGTGGGCAGAGGGTATGGCCACCATAGCACTGCTGGGCTGCCTGGGTGATCTGCACCGGGCCCTGGAGATGGTGAGTGGTCCTGTGGGCAGGCGGGGTGGGGAATGGGGGCAGAGCAGGAGCAGGGCAGGGGGGTGGAGAGGGATTTTTGGGCACTCGGTCTCTAAAAGGTTCACCATCACTGATATAGGTGGTCCAATGGTATATAAATCTCCATGTAGATTGTACTAGGAATAAAACAAAACTATTGATTAGAGTTGAATGCATCTATCAATTTTTGTGCCTCTCTAGTTCTAGTTTTTCCCATTAATCTTAAATTTCATTTGTCTTATTTTTACCTCAGTTTCAAACTATTGGGATTTTTTAACATTCTCCTAAAATAAATCTATTTTACCACATAGTTCTACTATCATACATTATATGTAACATTGCCTTATGTATGATTTTTTTCATATACATTTGTAGGTCTACGCTTATTGTAAGTAATGTCATATATTGGAAGGACCTTGTCTACTGGTGGTGCAGTTAAGACCTTGTAGATAATTTGAGTCTCTGCATGGTTAGATCTTTTTAAATTGATAAATCGGTATGCCTGAGATTTACCACAAAACAGTCAACCGGAAACAAGAGTAGTAATTAGTTCCAGGATGCAATCAAAAAGGTAGGATTGGGGGGGGGGGAAATAGACAGTAAGACTTTCGCCTCAGACAATATCAGATCGTAAGGGGTGAAGAAACAGAGCAACAAAATAAAGTCAGAAACAGAGCCACAAAATGAAGTTTGACACAAAATGAACTTTATTTAGCACATAATTTACATTTTTTTTCAACACTGCAAATATCAATTATAGAAGATAGAAAATGGAAAGTACACTGCGGAAGGTGGGAACCGTCCATTAGTTGTGCATTGAGGAGTTATTGTTTTGCTCTCAGTTGGTAATGTTGTAGCACTATAGACCTTGACGGTGTAGGATTGTCACACTGTCAAAGGGAAGAATTATTTCACCATGTGTGGAGATGCTACCTCCTTCAGTGATGAATGTACACAATTCAGCCTGCACCACAGAGCTTTTTGAAAGATTGTCCCTGACAAACTTCAGAGAAGTGTCCTTGCTGCAACAATTCAAGATAGCAGCCTTTGATATGCATCTGTGATACTCTGACATCATGTCAGTGTAACTAGATCAATTGTTAATTACAGTATTATGAAGGTTGAGATGTATTGCAAATCGTGTGTCTCATACTCTCCAAATGCAAATTACAGTGGACAAGGATATGATCTTGCACTTTTCCCAGCCTTTCCCATTCTGATGCCCTCCAGATATATTGAAATTACAACTACCAACATATGCTATCATTAGAGTTAGGAGTTCCTAAGAATATTGGTTCCTCTTCATATCTGGAGAATGCTTGGCTGGGAGTCTTTCTGTCAAAACAAAATTGGATTTTCAGATCAAATCAATCCACTTCATAAACTAGAATGGGAAATTCAAACCCAACAAACTAAGCCTGACTTACATAAACTCACTGATTAACATGGGTAGGAAGATCAGACCCTAAGAAATCTGAGGGAGCACAAAAGAAATTAAAATAACCCATTTTGTCCAATCTGTATTATTGTTTCAGAATTTTAATTGATAATCTTCAGGCTGTCCTTGATAGGCAACTGGACAATCACGCTCGGGCCGCTGGATACAATTATGAAAAATATAATAGATGGGAAAAGGTAAAAAACATTCACATGTGAAAATTCTCTTTCTCATTACATTTGGCAGTTTTGCTTTAAAATACTACTCTGCTCCTCAAGATCATTTCTCAGGCATAAAGAATATGCAGTTTAGGAAGTAGCACACATACTTTTCCAGGGTCAACTCTAGACTCTTTAGTTAACATGCTCCTAGGCAAGAAAGGCCACTCTCCTTCTGTCAGACCTAGGAATCTCCAACCAGTTAATACACAACAGGACAGGAAAAGCAAATATTTTCATGATGCACACTATTCTCTTCCAAGTTACTGGCACCATCTATATTAGGAGTGCTCATTTCTTCTTCAGGTGAATGGCTGCATTTGGCCTTTGAATAAAATATGGGTCTAGGAAAAAAAAAACCTCTATTTAATTTAGTTGTTTTTTCTATTGAATCAAAACTAAGTCTTGTTAACCTGACTGTCTCTGGTCATGTATTTAATAATTTCCTGGTTCCACCTCATTAAAGTGATGAATTTGATTGCTGCTTCTGGAAATTATCAAGGCTGTGGAGACAACAACAGCCTTAGTCTGTCCACTTCTAATTTACACTGTCCTACTTGTCCCCAAGTTATTTCCCCTAGTAAAAGGGAAGATGGTAAAGGGTGATGTCTAGTTCTTTTTCCTCTTTTAGCTATGCACCAAACGAAGATAAATATATAACTCAGTCTCTGGGCACTAACCACTTTTAATACATTGGTCTGAATTCTTCAGGAAAAGAAGAAAACTGTTTTCCATCTCTTATCTAGGCGGTAGGAATCTGCATGACCCATTAGTCTAAGTCATGCTTTACATAATTTCTTTCTGTTGTTAAATGCATTGATCTATTTTTTAATTGACAGATAGATGCTTGGACAGCTGATATTGCCAATGAAAATCCAAGTCTTGTTTCCCGATCACAAATAGGAACAACCTTTGAGGGACGTCCAATGCATCTCCTGAAGGTATTCAATTTTCAAAAATCTGTTACTAAAGTATCAGGTTTCCTCTTGGCGACTAGCATATAGCAACCTTTCTTAAGCTTTTGTTAATTCTGGATATGTGTTTGTATTTAGATTTTATAAATTCCTTTCATCCATTGGGATTGATAGTAAAATCTTCCTAAATAGCACATTCTGCAATAAAATCTTTTGACAGATAGCACATAAAAATTCAGCCGTGTTCCTGTAAGCAAGGTAAATGCAATTTACTTTTGTTTAATTGTGTACTCCATCTGTTATTTGTAAACATATTTGCTATAAAGTGGTCTATAAACTTCAGAAAGGACCCCCTTCCCTCTTTTTTGTTTTTGACAATGAGATACAAACAATTAATCAGATTTCCCACTTAACACAAAAAACCCAAAACCTTGTTATTTCATCACATTTGAAGGAAAATCCAATTCTTCTCTCAGCCCCCATGTAGTAATTTTGATCTGCTTCGCAATAGTACATTAAATGTTAAAAGGGAGGGAGTGGGATCCCATAATGACATCTGTCCAATAACTAATTAATTAACTAGTATAGAAGTCACTTCTTAGAATGAGCAAAAATGGAGATAGTGACAATAATAAAAGAAGCCGTTCCCATTTCTGAAATGTTAAGATTGAGATGGCTCTGTTTGCCTGATTGTATCACTATGATTTCAAATGAAGTAATTCTCTTTCATCTCGACTTGAGTTTCATCAAATTCTGATGTACACCTTGTGTTAGTCATCCAGAAATTGAAATACATAGAATGTTTCCCCATAATAGAACTTCCTGTAAATACATCATAAAAGATGTAATAATAATAATAATAATATTAATAATAATAATAATGATGATAATAATAATAATAATAATAAATAATAATAATGATGATGATGATGATGATGATGATGATGATGTTGGAAGGGACCTTGGAGGTCATCAAGTCCAACCCTCTGTTCAGGCAGGTGACTGAGAAGATTTAAAATTTGCATCAATGTTAGGGGAGAAAAAGCTACTATACTAAAATTCCAATGTGACCATTTCTTATCTAGGAACCAGCTTATGTGGTGATTTCAGTTATGGCAATATTATGTTAATTTCCTACCTCTTCAGTCCAAGCTGAGCTTTTTGCCTTAGTACATGCCATATTCAGATCAGATTCTGCCTTTATTCTACCAGCTCCATGCTTTGTCAAAGGGCTAGGACAGATATGTCAAACTCACGACATCACGTGACATTGTGTGACGTATCAGAGCTTTTTCCCCCATTGCCAGCAATGGGGTAGATGCGGTTTCCTCGTGTCATGTCTGGCACGTGGACTGGCAGTTTGTCACCCTTGGGCTAGGAGATATAAATATTAGTTAATCCATGGCAGTAGATCTCTTTGTTAGAAAACTAGCACATTAATGGTCTTGGAGTTCAAACAAGGTCTCTTTATGGCAAGGGTGAGAAACTAGTAGTAAGCCAACATCTTGTCTAGAGATGCCAAAGCTCAAGGCTGCATCATTCAAAACTGACCTCAAAATGGCTAATTTTGAATGCAAGCACACTAAAGTCACAGGAGAAAATGGTATGCAAAGCCTTTTCCAGCCTTAAACATTTTCTTTCAAAAATATGAAAAATTGGCCTTGACACACACACCCCTTAAAAGTCTTCCTGCAACCAGTCAAAAAGTCTAGAGTGTGTACTCTCAACCTCGGCAATATGAAGATCTGTGGACTTCAGTTCCTAGAATTCCTGAGCCAGGGAACACTTCTCTATGTTGAGACTTACTTATTAGAAGAGTCCTTAAAAGGTAATTCACCCATTTTTTTCTACCCCTGCCACCACCACTAAGAAGTGAGACTTACTTATACTCATTGAATTAAAGTGCAGAATGAAGCGGGTGCACACTGAGTAGTAGAGAGAAAGGTCAGCTGTAACCTGCACTTTGAAATATGTCTTGGGAATGCAGGTATCTCTTTCAATGGATAATATGTGGCATAGTAAGCTTGTTGTATGCTAAGACTGCCTATGCTCTTTGTCTCCAATTCTGTTCTACTTGTACATTTATGGAGAAATGTTGTAGAACACTACAAGACTCCAGTGCTTCTCCCTGCAAAAGGAAGCCAAACTTTGGTCAGATTGGCTAGAACTTTCCTCTATTCAGGGAAGTGAGGAACTGATAAGATCAGCATGGGATATACTTTTCTTCTTACTGACATTTGCTTTAAAAGGTCATGAGAATAGGCCCTACATCATTATTGTAGAACCACAGGGTTGACTTTCAAGAACTTTTCCTAAGGGTGCAATAAACCAAGCACTACAGCTCCATTTCCTCTTTTCATTTTGGTTTAGTTTCTGTGCAGCTGTGACCCAACTGCTCTGCAAAACTAAAAGTACCAGGATTTGCAGTACCAGGATTTGCAGAAATTTGCCTTTGGTTTGCAGAGTTTCCTCTTTAACAGCTTTCATTAAAAACCATATCAAAGCAACACCTAGCCCTGTTGAGGTGATATTTTTGCACACACAACTCAACATGCAAATAGCAACAAACTGCCACTTCCTGCTTCAAATAACTCGGGAGACTCCCCTGACAAGCTACTTGGCTGTTCAGATGTGACATGATTGCCTTTATATACATGTAAACACCTCCATGTAAGCTGGAGCTCTGCACTAACACACTTCCAGATATATTGAGCAGCCAACTGCCTCATCACTAAAATATGCCAGCTGAGGATGATGAAAAGTGCAGTGCAACATCTGGAAGGTGCTAAGGAGAAGAAGGCTAGTATAAGTAACAGTACACAAGAGGCTGCATATTCACATATGGAAAAGGAGATTGGAGCTTAAGGAACTAGCTGCTATCAGAATTATCACCTTTATCCAATTTATTGCAGATGTCTCTTCCCAAAATTCACTGCCCCATTAAATGGCAATCAATTATGGGAAATATGGCATTCATTTTCAGAGCTAAAATGAAATATTTCAAATGTATTTTTGACAGTAAAAGATAAGTCCCAGAAGTGGTAGCTATGATAAGGACAAATTTGCTTCATATTGAACTTTAGATCAGGGGTTCTCAACCTTTGCTGGCTGAGGAATTCTGGGAGTTGAAGTCCACAAGTCTTAAAGTTGCCAATGTTGAGAACCCCTGCTTTAGATAGTTGTAGCACATTGCCTTCTCCAGGAGCAAGGATCAGATCATATTGGTCCACCCACAGAGCTTAATGAAGCTAATCAGATTCCAAATAATTAATTGGATTCCAGTGGCCTGTTTGAGTCATCTCCTTAGTACAGGGGCTTCTTCTAAACACCTCATTCCCCATCTCAGAATCTCCTTGCATACTATGCTGCTACAGCCAATGATACATAAGGCAAAAGCACTTGAGCGATTATGGGACAAGCCTAGGAATGCAATCATATGTCATAGTGTGGGCATCATTGCAAACCCTATGCTCTTGTGATCATTGACATCCTTGCTACTACTTAGAGGAAGGCTTAAAGCACATTTATCGAAGCTTTAGAATATTCCCATTTTATTTATTTTTATTTTATTTATTAATCCCATTTATAGGGCCATCTATCTTACAGAAGCGACTCTGGTTTAGTTGTAGTTTGTGTTTTATATCTGTTATTATTTTTAACACTGTTTTCATGGATATTTTTACTGTGTCTTTGTAAACTGTCCAGAGCTATTAAGTGGACAGGCAACATATACATTTCTTGATAAACAAATACTGTAAGTGTTTTGTTTTAAACTTTTCAAGTTTCTTTAAGAACTGTCTTGAAAACAGCATAAGCAGAATTGCTCTTAACATTTTCCAGCTAGTGGCTACTATATCTCTCCATCTTCAATATGGCCATGAAATTACGTTGTAGCATAACAAGGTGGGGATGACAATTATTCCATTGCTAGCGCTGACATTTTTAAAATAATTAAGGTTTTCCAACATGAAAAAATAAGCACTCCAAATCTGTTCAAATCAGACTAAATCTTTATTACAGTCATAGATCAGCATAAGGAGTCTGATGTTGTTGTTGTTGTTGTTAATTGCGAAGTCGTGTCCGACCCATTGCGACCCCATGGACAATGTTCCTCCAGGTCTTCCTGTCCTCTACCATCTTCTGGAGTTCATTTAAGTTCACACCTACTGCTTCAGTGACTCCATCCAGCCATCTCATTCTCTGTCGTCCCATTCTTCTATTGCCCTCAATCTTTCCCAGCATTAGGCCCTTCTCCAGTGAGTCCTTCCTTCTCATTAGGTGGCCAAAGTATTTGAGTTTCAACTTCAGGATCTGGCCTTCTAAAGAGCAGTCGGGGTTGATCTCTTCAAGACTGACTGGTTTGAATGCCTTGCAGTCCAAGGGACTCGCAGGAGTTTTCTCCAGCACCATAGTTCAAAGGCCTCAATTCTTTTCTGCTCAGCCTTTCTTATGGTCCAACTTTCACAGCCATACATTGCAACTGGGAAAACCATGGCCTGGATTATACGCACTTTTGTTGGCAGGGTGATGTCTCTGCTTTTTAGTATGCTGTCTAGATTTGCCATAGCTTTCCTCCCCAGGAGCAAGCGTCTTTTAATTTCTTGGCTGCAGTCCCCACCTGAGGTGATCTTGGAGCCCAGAAAAATAAAATCTGTCACTACCTCCATTTTTTCCCCATCTATTTGCCAGGAATTGAGAGGGCCGGATGCCATGATTTTGGTTTTCTTAATGTGGAGTTTCAAGCCAACTTTTGCACTCTCCTTCTTCACCCGCATCAAGAGGCTCTTTAGTTCCTCTTCACTTTCTGCCATTAGAGTGGTATCATCTGCATATCTTAGGTTGTTGATATTTCTACCGGCAATCTTAATTCCAACTTTTGATTCATCTAGCCCTGCCTTTCTCATGATGTGCTCTGCATATAAGTTAAATAGGCAGGGCGACAGTATACAGCCTTGCCGGACTCCTTTTCCAATTTTGAACCAATCAGTGGTTCCGTGTCCAGTCTCACTGTTGCTTCTTGACCCGCATATAGGTTTCTCAAGAGACAAGTAAGATGGTCTGGTATTCCCATCTCTTTAAGAACTTGCCACAATTTGTTGTGATCCACACAATCAAAGGCTTTAGCATAGTCAATGAAGCAGAAGTAGATGTTTTTCTGGAACTCACTAGCTTTCTCCATGATCCAGCGTATGTTGGCAATTTGATCTCTAGTTCCTCTGCCTCTTCGAAATCCTGCCTGTACTTCTGGTAGTTATCGATCCACATACTGCTGGAGTCTAGCTTGTAGGATTTTAAGCATAACTTTACTAGCATGTGAAATGAGTGCAGTGGTGCGATAGTTTGAACATTCTTTGCATTGCCTTTCTTTGGAATTGGAATATAAACTGACCTTTTCCAATCCTGTGGCCACTGTTGAGTTTTCCAAATTTGCTGGCAAATTGAGTGTAGCACTTTTACTGCATCGTCTTTTAAGATTTTGAATAGCTCAGCTGGAATACGGTCACCTCCACTAGCTTTGTTGTTGCTCAGATTTTCTAAGGCCCATTTCACTTCACATTCTAGGATGTATGGTTCGAGGTCAATGACCATCTCATTGTGGTTATCTGGGATGTTAAGCTCATTCTTGTATAGTTCTTCTGTGTAGTTTTGCCATCTCTTCTTAATCTCTTCTGCCTCTGTTAGGTCTCTGCCATTTTGGTCCTTTATCATGCCCATCTTTGCATGAAACTTTCCCTTCATATCTCCAATTTTCTTGAAGAGATCTCTGGTCCTCCCTATTTTGTTGTTTTCTTCTATTTCTTTGCACTGTTCATTTAAGAAGGCATTCTTATCTCTTCTAGCTACTCTCTGGAATTCTGCATTCAGTTGGGTGTATCTTTCTCTTTCTTCTTTGCCTTTCGCTTCCCTTCTTTCCTCAGCTATTTGCAAAGCTTCCTCAGACAGCCATTTTGCTTTCTTGCATTTCTTTTTCTTTGGGATGGTTTTAGTTGCTACCTCTTGTACAATGTTGCGAACTTCCATCCCTAGTTCTTCAGGCACTCTGTCTATCAGATCTAATTCCTTAAATCTATTTGTCACCTCTACTGTATATTCACCAGGAATATGATTTAGTTCATACCTGAGTGGCCTAGTGCTTTTCCCTACTTTTTTCAATTTAAGCCTAAATTTTGCAACCAGAAGCTCATGATCTGAGCCACAGTCAGCTCCTGGTCTTGTTTTTACTGACTGTATAGAGCTTCTCCATCTTTGGCTGCAGAGCACATAGTAAATCTGATTTCTATGTTGACCGTCTGGTGATGTCCATGTGTAGAGCCGTCTCTTGGGTTGTTGGAAAAGAGTGTTTGTTATGACCATCGTATTCTCTTGACAAAATTATATCAGCCTGTGCCCTGCTTCATTTTGTACTCCAAGGCCAAACTTGCCTGTTATTCCGGTTATCTTTTGGCTTCCTAACTTAGCATTCCAATCCCCCATGATGATAAGGACATCATTTTTTGGTGTTAATTCTATAAGGTGCTGTAGGGCTTCATAGAACTGGTCAATTTCATCCTCTTCAGCACCAGTGGTTGGGGCATAGATTTGGATTATTGTGATATTGAATGGTTTGCCATGGATTCGAATTGAGATCATTCTGTCATTTGGGGGATTGTATCCCAGTATTGCTTTTCCTATTCTTTTATTGACTATGAAGGCTGTTCCATTTCTTCTGAGGGATTCTTGCCCACAGTAGTATACCTGATGGTAATCTGAGTTAAATTCACCCATTCCTGTCCATTTTAGTTCGCTGATTCCTAAGATGTCGATGTTCAGTCTTGTCATCTCTTTTTTGACTACGTCTAGCTTGCCTTGATTCATGGATCTTACATTCCAGGTTCATATGGAGAAAAAATCTTTACAGCATCGGACTTTCCTTTCACCACCAGATATATCCACAGCTGAGCGTCCTTTCGGCTTTGGCCCAGTCGCTTCATTCTTTCTGGTGCTACTAGTACTAGCCCTCTTCTCTTCCCCAGTAGCATATTGGACACCTTCCGACCTGAGGGGCTCATCTTCCAGCGTCATATCTTTTTGCCGTTTAGTACTGTCCATGGGGTTTTCATGGCAAAGATACTGGAGTGGTTTGCCATTTCCTTCTCCAGTGGATCACATTTTGTCAGAACTCTCTGCTATGACCTGTCCGTCTTGGGTGGCCCTGCACGGCATAGCTTATAGCTTCATTGAGTTACACAAGCCCCTTCGCCACGACAAGGCAGTAATCCATAAAGTCTGATGTATAGTCATTGAAAAAAAGCATATAGATATATAGAAATAAAACTCTTTAAAAATTATGAAAAGCTAGAAGATACAAAATATATATAATTAAAAATTAGATGATAGATGACAGACAGACAGACAGACAGATAGATGGATAGATGGATAGTAAAAGAAGGGGTAGGACCACTACTTTGATGTAGGAAAACATAAAGGCTAGTATATGGAAGTTACAAAACACTCTACCATGGTGAACTGGATGCTTATTAAATCTACAGTAGTTTATAGAAAAACTCTTCCGACAAATTTTTAGTGCGGTTGCACAGAATCTGGCAATATTGTCCATCCTGTCCATCCCGGGTATTTATAAAGTTATGGTGAGATGAGGTTGACATGAATGTTTCTATACTATAGACACTGGAGAAGGATATGCCCTATTTGCTTCTGTGTGTCCAGCATTGGCTTTCTAGGCAGAGCTGAAAGGAGAGCATGCCATCATGCCAATCTAAAGTCACTTCTATGTTTAGGTACTTTGAGTTTAATTAATTATGCCATAACGGGGCAGAGTACCTATTGGGTTCACTGACAATAAAGTTTGGGGTCCTGGCTACATCCGTGTCTGCTGTGTGCTATTCAATAAGTGTTTGGATTGGTGATATTCCTCTGCTATCTGAAGACCTGAACAGAAACCCAAGGTTGAGATTTTAGTTGCTGCTATCTGTTTCAAGTCAAACCTGTATTTATTTAACATTTGTTTGTTTGTTTGTATAGGCCACCCATCTTACTCAAGGTAACTCTGGGAGGCTTTTTAATCCATCTCACACTCCCGAATTGTCCTTAATACATTACAACAAACAATAACAGTGAATTTGTATTTTATTATTATTTTGCAATATTTCAATTAAATCATTAAAAATTACAAAAAAGAAAATATTGAAAAGAGAGAGAGAGAGAGAGAGATCTTCATAATCAATGTTTCTACCCAGAAAAACACTAGTGTAGCCAAATATATGTTAAGAAAAACTTTGTTAATATAAACAGAAGCCTAAAACAGTAGTAACTTGGTAATCAACTGCTCTGAAACTCATTAAATTTGGTACTCATTGCATTTTGACCTAAAATTTTTGTCCCAGTATTCATTGCTTGTTTGGTAGTCAACACACAAGCTAGAACTTGTCAGTGTCAAATGCCTTCTGACTCACTACATTATTCTTTATGGGAAAAATTTGTTTGGTACTTACGTTTTTGATACTCATCGCACTTCCTGAAACAAATTAATGATGAGTAGCAAGGTACCACTGTTCTTTACTTGTATAAAAAATGCTGACCAGATTTCAAAGCTCTTGCTTTTTATGTGCTTTTCCCCAGCCAATGAGCTAATATTGCACTTTTGCTTTCCATTGTTCTGTGATCTGAGGTTTAATTTGCTAAAAATTAACATTGTGGTCCAGTCTAAGTACATAAATATGATCATGAGGCTTTTGTATATGAACTGACTTCTGAGTTTTGTAACATGATTTTTTTTTAAAATCCAACTTGGACAGAAACTGCATGACTAGAAAGATTAGCTGGGAAAGAAATCAATTCCTTGTTCCTTTAATGGTTGGGAAATTCACCAGATGGAGCTTGTCATACTTCTGCACAATAAACATCCCTCTTGTGAACTACATTTAAAGATAAGGAAGACTTGTCTTCCTTTGCATCTGGATATTTTATACCTTACTATTTATGTAAGAGGCAGAATTATATAAAAACAATATACTGCAGGTAGCCAGATTCTAAAGATACACCATAATCTTCAAGGAAAAAATATGGTGGTTTGTAGGGATGATGAAAAATACTAAGACATAGGTTCCATCCAAACACACACACACAAGGAAAAGGATGAGACCTCTTTCCATATGAACTCAAGTAATAATGGAAAGCAACTCTGGTTTTAGTTGTCATTTATGTTTTATATCTGTTATTCTTTTAATACTGATTTCATGGATATTTTACTGTGTTTTTTAAACTGTTAAGAACTACTGAGGGGACAGGCAACATATTCATTTCTTACTAAACAAATAAATGTTTTCTTTTAAACTTTTCAAAGTTGTTTTAAATCTATTAGAAATGTTTAAGAAGAGATTGGGCAACTATTTGTCTAAAATGGTATGGGATTTCCTGCCTGAACAGGAGATTGGACTAGAAGACCTCAAAGGTCCCTTCCAACTCTGTTATTCTGAGTATTTGCACTATGTAATATTATTTGAACTATGCTCTTTGAAGACCATTAACAATTTGTATCCAATTTTTTCTTTCGTTCATTTTCTTGTATAGGTTGGAAAGCCTGGTGTAAATAAAAAAGCTATTTTTATAGACTGTGGCTTCCATGCCAGAGAATGGATCTCACCTGCTTTTTGCCAGTGGTTTGTACGAGAGGTTGGTGACAAAATATCAGTGGCAGAAATTATTGACTCAACTGAAAATGGAATTGGGTGGGATTGTAAAATTAAAGAAAAATTATTTACAGTTCCACAACATATTCTCATTGTTATTCCAAAGTTTCTGTCTTTCCTATAAAATAACACTCTACTTTGATTTTTCATTTGATTTCCAGTTTGCATTTTGAAGCATAATTACACTGTGAACATGACACTGGAGTTTGCTATTGCAGAAAAAAAATCCTGATTACCCCTTTGCAAAATTTATTCTATTCACTATTAAGAGAAAATCCGTTGCAATTAAACAAAGTATTAGGGTTAGAATAACAAATTGGGGAGGTCTTGTAAAAAGATATCAGTAGATTATAATTAAAATATAATGAGCGGACTGTGCCATATAAAATGTATCTAATAATTAATGTACACTTCTAAGATAAGTTTAAAGAAGCTGCACATTCTCCAGTGTGTGTTAAAACAGTTAAGTAGCAGCTTCTTCTATTCTTGATGTCATAGCTGGTTTTTAATGTCACTATTTAGTTTATTGGTTTCTTAGGTTGTTGGGTTTTTTAAGAATCTTAGCACTGCCTAAGCATGCTGAAAATTTTGTCTTTCAGTTCTGGTGATACTCATTACTTGAGTTCACTTTTAGGGATATTTATTTCGGAAGACATGGACTTACAAAATCTGGTACACATAAGCCTAGCAACATGAGAGAATTATGGAATAAATTTCTCCTTTTCCTCATATCTGCAGCCCTTTGAGGCAACATCTGTCTAGAGAAATATATAGCCTTCATCTTTCTGGATTTGAATCAATGCCAAAGTTGACTATAGTCTTTTATGAAGGCACAGAAAAAGTTTCAGTTGTTATTGTTGTTATTCCTGCCTTTCTTTTAAAAGCTCAAGGTGGGATACATAGCATCTTCTCTTCCAATTTTTCCCCACAACTCCCCTATAATAAGGTTGGGTTAAGAGAGTTGAGTGGAACTTCAACAGCTAAAGGACCAACACATGGGTTTTCCCAATCCTAGTCCATCTTTACCACTACACCACATTCTCTCTTTTTATGCCCAAATTTGTAATATTTAGGGTCAATGCCTTGCAAATAGTATTAGGAAATCCTAATTCTTACCCAAACCTGTCCTTTTCTGTGCTCTGGCAATCCTAAAGATTGTACTAGAATCTCATCTACTCCCAGGATCATTTGTGCCATTTCACAGATATCAGCTGATCAGGAGCATTCTGTTGGGCTCTGAAAAAGTTAATTCTAACTTCCTTTTTCCACTGTTTTAACTCTTTGCATGAGCTGCTAAAGCTACCCTCTTTTAACCCAATGAAGTACAGAACATAAACAGGATCTAGAGCATTGACAGATTTGCCATAGTGGCAGGATACAAATTCTTTTTGTGTCCTTTAAAATGTGGAGAAGCAGTTTGAAAAGTAAAAATCACATTAATGTATTTGCTATTCAGATTCATCTTTCCTTATCTCTTCCAGTAATGCAACAGAAAGCAAAAATTTCCCTTATTTACAATATTACAGTTATCAAATCTAATCAGAGACTCCATTATTGTCATCTATTAAACATTTAACATATTTACTGTCATATATTTTGAATAATGGGGAAAGCTATACAATTAATTTCTAAAATAATCACAGATATCATTATAACGTTATTTTTTTCATATATCTGTTCAGAAACTTAATCCATCAATTAATATTGCAGATAGATAGGTACTAAAAGGATCTCTTTATAGTCTTTCAGTGACATCCTAATTTCTAAACAATATAAATTTTATGACTCTTTATGAATTTTCTCCAATGTCTATATTCATTTAGCAATTGGTATCATCAGTATTACCAAACTGACAATAATTGACAAGCAGCTGAAATTTTAGTGCTCTTGATTCATGCTGCTGTTCTTACTTCTCTCAATATTTTTTCATATCCCTTTTCCTGTGCCAAAAACATGTAATATTATTTGTAATCATGCAAATGAAAGTGACATCAGGCCAGTCATTTAGATTATCCTTATCACCTATCTCTGTGGTTTGTATGTAGGCTGTTCGAACCTATGGAAAAGAAACCATTATGACTCAGCTTCTGAATAAGTTAGACTTCTATGTCTTGCCTGTCTTGAATATTGACGGTTACGTCTATTCTTGGATACAGGTAAGTAATACACAATTAGTAGGTCATAATTATTGTATCACTTATTTTTCAAAATGTACATTCACAAATCTATTCCATTTCAGAGTCGCATGTGGAGGAAGACTCGTTCTGTAAATGCTGGTAGTACATGCATTGGTACTGATCCCAACAGAAATTTTGATGCTGCATGGTGCAGTAAGTATCCTGTACCCTAAGAAGGAAAATCTATGCTCCAATCCTATGTGGATCATGATGAATTCTTAAAGTTTACAAACATCAGCTCTAGCTGAGTTCCAAATTCTTAATGCAATCCTATGAAACATATTATAGAGGAATTTTAAACATCTCTAAGAAAGAAGTGCTCTGTGGTTTAGAACTGAACTCTATTCCACATAAGTTACATGGTTTTTCTCTCTGTCAGCAAGAGGCAAAAAAACCTTCCTCTTTTCAGAGAACAATATACATATATACAAATAAAATAAAATATGAATCTGTATAATGCTGTATATGATATACTTTGAATTAGCCTGATTCCTCCCACATAAATAGCATATTTCTAGAAACTAATGAGCAAAGTCTTTTTGTTAGTTTTTACATGAAGCATATTCACACTAGAAGTGATGTTGGCAGAGCAAAATAAAATATTCACATGCATATATTAACACAAAAAATAATGTCCTAGGGTAAAGTCTTGCAAATCCCTTAAGAGAGGTCCTTCAAAATGCACAGGAGCAGATACTAATTTCTGCTTTTGGAATTATAAAAACAACTGCTGGGTAAAGCTTCACAAAGTCAAATGACTGTGGAGTTACACTCATGTGGAGAGAGCTGGAAGCAGTTTCCAAAGTGGCCTTGAACCTGTAAAAAGACATAGCTGCTTTAAAAATTCAAAAAGTAGTACAATGTTACTGCGGTACCCATTAATAATTGGTTCCAGGAGGCACAATGAGTACCAAAAATGATGGGTACCAAACAACGAATAATGTAGCGAGTCACAAGTTCTAGCTTGTGTGTCAAGTACCAAACAAACAATGAATACCAGGACAAAGTTTTCATGTCAAAATGAGTTGAATACTAAATTTGATGAGTTTCAAAGCAGTTGAATACAAGGAATCACTGTACCATAGGCACTCCAATTAATTAAAATACATCTTCCTCAAAGCACTGCCACAGCCTTATGAAATACTGCCTGGTAAAATATATGCAGTATATTCCACAATGCTGTATGCCAGTTTCACTAACTGACACTCTTCAGAGTAGTTGCCATCATCATACCTTGCAACTTATAGAAATATTAAACAGGAAGGAGGCCAAAACCTGAGACTGATGTTTTTATTTGACCTTGACATCAAAGAGCACCAAGCTGATTAAATGCACATGATCTACTCTGGCAGACTCCAATTTCCTCACATTTCCTGACATTTCAAATTGTTTTAATTGGAATTTAATTTAAGAATTAAAGCCATAGATGATATAGATATAGATAGATATAGAGATAGATACTCTCATTTTTTAGCTATAAGGTCAGAGCAATGATGATAGGTAACATTAGACAACAATAAAACTTGCAGAATATAATTCTTTCTCCTACTGTTGTATACATGGGAGATAGGAAGAAATCAATGCATAAAATATTTTAAACCACTGAGCCATTTTTTCTTTACAGTAGATGCCTATTTCTAAGAATTGCTTGTCAGACAAAGTGAAAAACATTGTGAATTATGGCAGACAGTGTAAGGAGATGCAGAATTATGCAGGGTAGTGTTCCATTCAATGTCCACATTTTCATTGCATATGGATGCTAATTAGGGAATATATCAAACTCTTTCCGTGCAGGAGCAGGATTTTGATTAGATCAAAATAGCCCCTCACATTTATGGGTTAAATGAATACATATTAATATTTCTATATAATCCCTTTTTAATGTGCTCTAAACAGTTGGGTGTCTCAGTGGAAGTAAGCCCATAATTTATATAGCCCACTTCACAATTCACGTATCCTGTCACACAGGGATATTATTTTGTAATAACAATAGCCTCCATCCATTTTCTTACATCTATCTGGTCATCTCTGAAAAACTAATTGCACAGTTAGCTAACTGCACTACATCAGTTCCAGTTTTTTCCAAATAGTTTTTGAACAATGAGATTGATTGGAGAAGTAGATAAAAGAAAGCACATTTGGTCGTGAGAAAGAAGATTGTGGAGGTGCTAGTGATGAAGTAGTGAACAGGAAAGCATGATAAAATAAATATTACTTTCAAAGCTACTTTTAAAAGTAACCAGTCATACTATTACTTGAGACCTAGCATAATGTATGATGGCTAAAAAGATCGTGTTATTCTCAGTCTGAATCTTCCTTCTGCTTTGACAGCATGACATGTCCTTGTGCAGACCATTATCTGTCACCCTTCCTCCATCTATTAATATTTGTTTGCATGCTCTTCACAACCAGCCATTATAGCATTGCAACAACTCATAGCTAAAACAACCATGACTTAGCATAATGTGTGAATCCAGTTATTGATAGACTTACAGATATATAAAAGGTTTTGAAAATTTTAAATTTAAAAATGCTATGCAAATGTTTCATCCTGTTATTAGCCTGTTCAATGATACTTACTTAAAAAGTAAGTTAAAACTGAAAATTAAAAGACATAAAATCATTAGGAAGCCAGAAAGGTACACTTTTTCTGCCTTTTAGACCAACCTATCATGTCTAATTTTTTTTCCTACTTCATTCAGCTGTTGGTGCTTCAAGAAATCCCTGTAGTGAAACCTATTGTGGTAGTAAACCTGAATCAGAAAAGGAGACCAAAGCTTTGGCTGACTTCATTCGAAGAAACCGCTCAACTATCAAGGCTTACTTGACCATTCATTCTTACTCCCAGATGCTCCTTTATCCATACTCTTATACTTATGATCTAACATCAAACAATGCAAAACTGGTAAGTAGAATTAGGTGACAATAAAGTTGAAAGTTGTATTAGTTGTGAACCTTTCAGCAAATAATTTATCTTGGGCTGCAATTTGAGACAATTCAATTTTGCAATATATTTGTTTCCTGTCTATTGCTGAATCAGATTAGAACAAATGTCCTTCTTATACCAAATTTGCTCATTTAAAATACAAAGTTCTTGTTTCATAGAAGACAGCCTTGTTAGCTGAGGTCCAGTGAACCATGCTCTCCCTCACTTTCCAACTCATCTCAAACTTTCCACACCTTAGTTTAATTTTTATAACAATTAGTTTGCCACGTCTCTATTTTTCCAGACAGGCAATTTGCCTTCTTTCCACCATACCTCTATTCCTTTAAATGACTAAATGGAAACATTAAACCAGGGTCCAGGGATATGAAGTCTCCTTCCCACTTCAATCCAGACAGATTGCTTTGACTATAAAGGACTAGTCTTAAATTTACAACAGGTGTTTGGATGTCTCATGAATGATTAGGAAAATACTAGCTGCTACTTTCTTAGAACAGAAGTGGTTATCTAGGCATATATTTCTCAATTTTTTTTCAGATAGCTTTCTTTGCCTATTACTAGTGTGTCTCCACACGTTCTCACCTTGTTTAAAAACAAAGGGAAGGCAGGGAATAAATAGCAGTGAAGACACAGGCAAATCAGTTCCAAAATAATGTACTATTTAATTAGTCCCAAACAACATTAAAGACATTGACCCAGAAATGGCCTATCACAGACGTACTAAAGAATTTGTTTCATTTCCCTTTTCTTCTGAACAAATAGTATTTTTTCATATGAAGTTCTTCTTTTACATTATATTCATTTTAACTTACTTTTAAAAGTTAATATCAATAGACAAAAACCACTTTCCTGTCAAGGGACAAAAATTAACTATTAACTCTGACCTGTTACATAGACCATTTAAACTGCTGAAGAAGCAACCATTGATTCAACAGTAATGCAGAAACACAACAGATTTCATACATGGTTAAAATAAGAAAGAAGGTGAGATATCAAACAAAATCAAAGTCCAAAGATAGAATTCAGATTCAAGAACCAGATTTTAGTAAAGGAAAGTTAAGCAGTACCTGTAGATTTTACTCTACTAGTGTCATTGCCAACAATAGGGGTTCAAAAGTGAGGTTAGGCCAAGAACATATGAAGTTATTAGTTGGGAATGAGATTCTAGATTGGATTATGCAACACACTAAACCATAACATAGTTTGCTTTTGGCATTATAGATTATGGTAATTTATCATCAGTCGGAACCATTTAATACACCATTTTTGCTTTCTTTGTTGATGCACAGGAATAACAATAGATATGTATTCCTTGTCCATTCCTTGTACATATCTATTCCTAAACTAAGTGCCTTAGAACATTATACAATAGAATTTCTTTTTTGAAAATTTAGTTCTTTAGTTAGGAATATTTGAAAAGTAGAAGTATCTGGCACTAAAATACATTATGACAAATAAGATATTTCAAAAATTGAGAGGATTTTAATTTTCAGTTGCCAGAAGGGTCACGTACTGTTGTGAATTCAGATAGATCCATAATATTTCCCAAGTGGAAATATCAGGATTTGGGCCAGAGACAGAAAGTAAGAACAGATTAACAGTTTTGCTTTGGACATTTTGGACATTTTTTATTTGATGGTGTTATGCTAGATTATATACATTTTTATCCTTAAACTACAATGTTTTAACAAGTATTATTCAAAGGGTAGATCCATTTGCCCCTCTTTCTGCCTTTCATTTAGCAAAGCAATATTTAACTGAAATGTAATAATAAAAATACAATAGTAATGGGGGACTTTATCTACCCTGACATCAACTGGAGACAAACTCTGCACCAAACTCTGGAAGATCAAATAGATTCCTAACAAACCTAGCAGACAACTTTGTCTCCCAAAAAATAGAGAAGGGAACTAGGGGATTAGCCATTTTGGATCTAATTCTCACCAACAGAGATAAGATGATAGAAGGTGCTGAATCCATAGGAACCTTGGGAGGAAGTGATCATGCAATTGGAATTCAACATTATGGAAGCATAAGCAATAGAACACAGTCAAACTAGAGTTTTGGACTTCAACAGAGCTAATTTCAATAAACTTAAAAAGAGTTTGGGAAGGATTCCATGGATGAGAATCCTCCAGGGGAAAACAACTCAAGAAGCTTGGGAAATTTTGAAAAGTGAGATAATAAAAGCCCAGTCTCTCACAATACCAACAAAGAGGAAAAATAACAACTCTCAAAAGAAACCAGCATGGCTGCATAAAGAACTCTCTGATAAATTGAAAGATAAAAAGGACAAGTATAGAAAGTGGAAAGAGGACACATAACTAAGTCAGAATATCAGCAAATAGCCTGAGCCTGCGAAGATGAAGTGAGAAAAGCTAAGGCTCAAAATGAACTGAGGCTTGCGACCAAAGACAAAAATAACAAAAAAAGCTTCTTTCAACTTGTAAAAAAACAAGAAAAAAGTGAAGGAAATGATTGGTCCATTAGTGGGTGAAAGTGGCAAGAAGGTGACAAGCAACAGGGAGAAAGCAGAACTATTTAACTCGTTTTTCGCATCTGTCTTTACACAAAGGGAAAAAACAGACCAACCTATCAAAAATAGTGCCATAAAAAAACAGAATAGAAACACAAGTTAAGATAGGCAAGAAAATGGTGAGCACTTGTCCAACCTAGACGAGTTCAAATCACCAGGACCAGATGGATTACATCCCCCAAGGTTCTCAAGGAACTGGCAGATGTGATCTCAGAACCACTGAACTATATTTTTCAAAGATCCTGGAGCACTGGGAAACTACCAGAGGACTGGAAAGGAGCTGATGTAGTTCCCATCTTCAAAAAAGAAAAAAATGGATCCAGGAAATTACAGACCTAGTGGACCAGTGGGCCAGAGGAATGCTGTGGATATAATTTACTTGGACTTCAATAAGGTATTTGACAAAGTAGATCACAACCTACTACTTGATAAGATAGAAAAATGTGGGTTAGACAGCATCACCACCAGATACATTCGTAGCTAGCTGACCGGGCGTACTCAGCGTGTGGTCCTCAATGGAACTGCATCTACATGGAGGGAAATGTGTAATGGGGTGCCCCAGGGCTCTGTTCTGGGCCCAGTGCTCTTCAACATCTTCACCAATGATTTGGATGAGGGGATACACGGGGAACTCATCAAATTTGCAGATGACACCAAGCTGGCAGGAATAGCCAACACTCCAGAAGACAGGCTTAGGATACAGGAGGATCTGGACAAACTTGAACACTGGATGCTATCTAACAAAATGAAATTCAATGGTAAAAAAAGTATGGTTCTACATTTAGGCAAGAAAAAACAAATGTACAAATATAGTATAGGGGATACCTTGCTCAACAGTAGTAACTGTGAGAGGGATCTCGGAGTCCTAGTGGACAATCATTTAAATATGAGCCACCAGGTGCTGCAGCTGCCAAAAAAGCCAACACTGCATTAACAGAGAGATAGAATCAAGATCACATGAAGTATTAATACCACTTTACAATGCCTTGGTAAGGCCACACTTGGAATACTGCATCCAGTTTTGGTCACCACAATGTAAAAAAGATGTTGAGACTCTAGAAAGAGTACAGAGAAGAGCAACAAAGATGATTAGGGGACTAGAAGCTAAAACATATGAGAAATGGTTGCTGGAATTGGGTATGTCTAGTTTAATGAAGAGAAGGATGAAGGGGGGGGCATGATAGCAGTGTTCCAATATCTCAGGGGCTGCCACAAAGAATAGGGAGTCAAGCTATTTTCCAAAGTGCCTGAGGGCAGGACAAGAAGCAACGGATGGAAACTAATCAAGGAGAGAAGCAACCTAGAACTAAGGAGAAACTTCCTGACAGTTAGAACAATTAACCAGTGGAACAACCTGCTTCCAAAAGCAGTGAATGCTCCAACACTGGAAGTTTTTAAGAAGAGACTGGACAGCCAGTTGTCCGAAATGGTATAGGGTTACCTGCCTGAGCAGGGGGTTGGACTTGATGACCTCCAAGGTCCCTTCCAACTTTATTATTAGTAGTAGTATTAGTATGTATTAGTATTATTATAAAATTGATAGATTAAAATAGAATTCTCTTGTCCCTGGTTTTAACAGCATACAGTTTCTCATAGAATTTGTGTTATTTTAGTGATCTAAAATAACCTTAGTATGGAAAAGAGGAAATATGTTTGGTGATTTTGTTCCCATAATGTTCTTAACCAGATCAGTTAAGAGTAGCCTGTAATGATAATACTTTTTATCAGAATGTTATCTTATTTCATTTTTATTCTAACATGAAATATGATAAAGAAAGCTGGCAGACGTCTGATAAAATAAGTGCTCCAGCCACAGTCTGACATGTCGCTTTAAAAATATCCCCTTCTATACTAATCTTTTAGAACTTGGTTTCACACCTTTATATTTCTGAGAGATACATTGTCAAATGTTTATTGAATGAATGGAGATGGAGTGATGAAGTATTCATCTTCTCTCCCTATTTACACTTTCCATGAGTTTTTCCGAAGGCCTGAATAAAGCCTGTAAATGTACAATTTGGATTCACATCACTTGCTACAGTTTTTCGGGATCCCATAAATAACCTTTTAAAGGAAAAACTATAGCAGCATCAAAATCGAAATCCCTGGGCTTAATTCAACATTTTTAAATAATGGAATCCAGAAACATAAACATCTATCCTTAACCATGTTGATGCCCAAATGATAAAATGTGTGACATTGCGCAAAAGTATAATGAAAGACAGAGTCTTTGTCACACATCTATTTCTTATTTCCTTATTCCTTATTTCCATTTTCTTATTTTCCCCCATTTCCTCCCTGTGAATGCCTATGCCACCACTAGTTATATTTCTTCTTAAACTATTTATTTGGTTCCATGGTATAATATAACCTGACTCAGTTTGTTTTTTCCAAACCAATTGTTAATATTTTCTTAATTCTGTGAAGTAAGTTGCAATGGAGTATGATTAAGAAAAGCATATGTTAGTACAAAATAAGCAAATGCATACACACACAAAGACAAAATTTAAGAGAAATTAAATTTGGGACAGCATTTGCAAAAATGCAAAACAAAAATGAGGAAAATTGCAGATAATAATAATAGTAGTAAAGTTGGAAGGGACCTTGGAGGTCATCTAGTCCAACCCCCTGCTCGGGCAGGAAACCCTACACCATTTCGGACAAATGGCTGTCCAGTCTCTTCTTAAAAACTTCCAGTGTTGGAGCATTTACTGCTTCTGGAGGCAAGCTGTTCCACTGATTAATTGTTCTCACTGTCAGGAAGTTTCTCCTTAGTTCTAGGTTGCTTCTCTCAATGCAGTTCCATTGAGGACCACTCGCTGAGTACGGCCGGTCAGCCAGCTACAGATCCATCTGGTGGTGGTTCTGTCTACCCCACATTTTTCTATCTTGTCAAATAGTAGGTTGTGATCTACTTTATCAAATGCCTTACTGAAGTCCAAGTAAATTATGTCCACAGCATTCCTCTGATCACTAATTTTGTCACTTGGTCAAAGAATGCAATAAGATTTGTCTGGCATGATCTATTTTTGACAAACCCATGTTGGCTTTTAGTAATGACTTTGTATAAATTTTGGGTACTGTTCTTTTAGAAAGTTGATGCAAAAAGAGTGCAATGAACTTAGCACTGGAAAAATTAGAAACTGAGTAAAGTTGTCTTGACTAATTATCATGTCCCTTTCTGTAATCCTTGTTTATTGCAGATTAGAATAACTTGCATATCTAAATTCCAGCAAGCGCCAGCTGCTTTAGAAAAGAAATATATTTGCAATATATCTTCAGATGCTCTCAACTGAATGATGAATCATATTATACTAAAGTAGTATGCTTTCATTCATACATATATTATATACATATACATATACATACATACACACACACACACACACACACACACACACACACACACACACATATATATATATATATATATATATATATATATATATATATATATATATAACACATACATATGCATACATATATGACATTATTTTTGGCAAAGTGACTAGAATCCAAAGAGTAGTCCTATTGATTAGATAAACAAAGATAACATTCTACACACATATGCATGCACACACACACATCCCTGGACAAGAAACTCAAGATTCATGCTAGAATCTCACCACTGGTGACTTCTTGGAGGAAGAATTTGATTAATAAAAAATATATTCCTCCATTTTTTTCACAGCTTATTTTATTGCATCCATCATGCATGCAAAAATGCATACATGTATGCATATCGCCCATAACTGATAGTCTAATATTACTCTTTTTTTCTTGAAAAGTACTAAATCAATCTCTATTTCACAATGTTTCACATAATGTGTTTGGTTTTTTTTTGTAAAAGTAAATTGCCTCCCTTATCTTTGTAATCAGATTTTCCTACCTCATTCTCTTAACATTTATATTGGGCTACTTAAAACCTCTGTATATTTAATCACCTCTTTTTTTCTCGAAAATATTGCAAGCTTGATTCAGAATGTGCTCAGACTTTGGCTTGGGTTCCAGTTTAGATCATTATATGGTCCATCAGTTACAGCAAATATGTATCAAAACAAATTTAACTCTCCTTGTACTTTAACAATAATGCTTAAAATTCATAGACATAGAGCAGCGGTTCTCAACCTTTGGGTCGCGACCCCATTTGGGGTCGAACAACCATTTTATGGGGGTCGCCAAACAACGTGATCCACCATTTTTTCCCTCAGGGGGCGCCGCCGCGCATGCGCGCCGCACATGGGGCGGCGCCACACATGCGCGCCGCACATGGGTGCGCCACGCATGGGCGGCGTGTCCTTATGACCGGAGTCGCTGTATAAAAAGGTTGAGAACCACTGACATAGAGGGATAAAACTGGTTATAAGTTTAAAAATATAAAAATAAAATCCCTAATTCTCTATAGAAATGTAGGCTATTCTGATGAAATAATTTCCAAACCTTAAAAAAATCCTAATTACTTTCTTCTGGCACCAAAAACTCTCTGCTGTAACTTTTCTCTGCTAATTAATGAATATTGTTATGTGAAATTTTAAATACTTGACTTTAGCAATAGCGACAGCACTTAGATTTATATACCTTTCCATAGTGCTTTATAAGCACTGTCTGAGTGATTTACAATATCAGCATGTTGCCCCCAACAATCTGGTTTAGTTGAAAAACAGTCATAAATAACTTTTTTCGGTGCCATTGTAACTCTGAACAGTCACTAAACGAACTGTTGTAAATCGCGGACTATTTGTATATTAGATTGCAAGTTATTATTGCAATGGGAAATAACTAATTAATATGGCTGATATCCTGTTTGGATTATAGATATTGCCATGACAAAAAAAATTCAGAGATAAACCTTCTGTCAAAGCAACTAATACCTAAGTGAAAATTAATTAATTTATGTTTGAAGTGCCACAAGCTTTTTCATTGTATGACATTCTCTCTGAAGCTCTGGAATTAAGGGCTGACTACGGTAATAAAAATATGATACCTAGTTTCCAAAATATAAGTCTTCTTCCCATCTTGGCTTCCACTCTGAGCAAAACATCTGAATGTCTACCACAATTTATCTTTTCTCTAAAGAATTCTATTGCTAGAGCAGCCATCCGAGAACTAAAAGTACTGTATGGCACTGAATATACGTATGGTCCAGGAGCTGCAACAATTTGTAAGTATTATACTAATAGCAGTACGACTATGGTAATGATTAGATTATTGTTCATAAAAACTTGTAATTAGAACATTACGGACAGTGTATATACACAGGGATTCTCCCACTTTTCAAACATCAGGACTCTTGAGTACTATATGACTACAGTATATGTGATTTGCAGAAGTATTACAAAAAAGATTTCTCCTATTTTTCATAATTTAAAGCCTTGACTATGATATATATGAAAACAAGTAGAACTATACTGTTTTAGTTCATTAATTTTAATACGAAATTCCATGACTGATTAAAAAAAGACAAAGGAAACAAGCATGGTAAAATTATCTATTAATGTGGAAAATACAATCATTGGTGTGTCTCATACACTGCATAATGATGTTGGAAGAAATACAGTCTTACTCTTCAGGTAAATAGTAGACATCTAGCATAGACATATGTTCTGGAAATTATGGGTACTGAAGATCCAAAAGGGTGCCAAGTTGATACCATACATTAAATTTATGAAAATCAATTCTATTTACCTGCTTCTTTCTTTTAGCATATGTATTCCATTCCTTACTATTTACAGATCCTGCTGCTGGTGGCTCAGATGATTGGGCTTATGACCAGGGTATAAAATATGCCTTCACCTTTGAACTTCGTGACAAAGGCCGATATGGTTTTGCTCTTCCTGAATCTCAGATAAAGCCAACTTGTGAAGAAACTATGATTGCTGTTAAATATATTGCTGAATCTATGCTTTCTTTGAACTAAAAAAATAGCTTTCCAAGCTGAATAAATAAAATTTAATGCACAATTGCTTTTGTACATTTTCTGAATTTTCTCTGCCCCCATAACTTAGAAATATAAAACATAGAATAATAGAGTTGGAAGGGACCTTGCAGGTTTTCTAGTCAACTGCCAGCTGGAACAGGAGGTCCTATACCATTTCAGATAACTGGCTCTCCAGTCTCTTTAAAAACCTCCAATGATGGAGCACCCACAATTTCTGGAGGCAAGCAACTCCATTGGTTTATTGCTCTCACCATTAGGAAATTTCTCCTTAGTTCTAGGTTGCTTGTCTCCTTGGGTACTTTCCATCTATTGTTTCCTGTCTTGCCTTCTGGAGCTTTGAAAAATAGTTTGATCTCCTTTGTCTTTGTAAGAGGCCCTCAGATATTGAAACACTGCTATCATATCTCCCCTAGTCTTTCTTTTCACTAAACTAGACATGCCCAATTCCTGCAACCATTCTTCATATATTTTAGCCTTCAGCTTGTTCTGGGTTCTTCAAAAACTGTAGATGTATGTCTGCCAGCTTCCCTAGTATGCTGTTGTTTAAATAATAATAATTGTTCTGAGGAAGCTAAAATTGACATAGCTGGATGGGTAGATGAATGCAGAAGCAAGTTTAGGTTAAGGTTGATTTAACTGCCAATATAAATACACGTAAGTAGAAGTAGTGTATACCTTTTTTTAATGAAAATTATCAGCACTTTTGATCAGTGACGTCATCAAAGTAAACAAACCCACGTGCTGATTACGTCAACAGGGCACAGCCCTAAAAGGAAGTGACGTGCTCAGCACCCACCCTCCGGATGTGACGTTTTGGCCTAATCCCATCAAGATTGGCAGTCAATCCTCTGGGTACATGATTAGGTTAACCCTAGACTAATTCTATGGACATTCAAAACAAAAAAGAGCTAAGTAAAGTGAATAATTAGCAGAGGCCTGTGTTTTTGGGGAACAAGCCCTACTTTGGGGAGCTGTTAACCCTAGACTATTTCTATGGACATTCAAAACCCAAAAGAGCTAAGTGAATAATTAGAAGAGGCCTGTGTTTTTGGGAAACAAGCCCTACTTTGGGGAGCTGTGAAATAAAAAATAAAAAAAGGCTTTTTATTTCTAATCATTCTAGCCTAACGATGCTTTTAATTTTTGTGGAGTTTTAAAAATCAGTGCCTCAAAAGCTGGGGAAAAAGAAGCCCCTGAAAGGCAGCCAGAGCCTGCATTTAACCCCTTTTTTCTAAAAGATATTTTTTTCTAAAAGGTATTTATGTCTAGGTGGTTTTAAAAGCATTTCCTCGAATGCAGGGGGAAAAACAAACAAACACAGCCCCTTTTAAAACCCACAGCTGGTTTTTACCTTTGTAAAAAATCTAAAGACACATATTTTGCCATTTGCACCCTGAATAAAATTTATTCTGCCCCCCTCCCCACTATAGCAAAAGACAAGGAATATTAACAGGAATTAAAAAGCTCACAAGAGGCAAGCAGCCAACCAGGCTCACAAGAGGCAAGCAGCAAGCAGCCATGCCTCTCTGTCTGCTAGTAAAAAAAAAGTGGGGGTTAGGCCTTGTTTGGGACGTGCCCGGGCATGTCATGCTCCCCGTGATCTGGGCATGCGCAATGCTCAAGGGCGTGTCATTGCAAGGGGCAGGGGAGTTTGCTCCCTGTGATCTGGGCATGCGCAATGCTCAAGGGCGTGTCATTGCAAGGGGCAGGGGAGTTTGCGCGGGCAGGGACATGCCCGGGCATGTCATGCTCCCCGTGATCTGGGCATGCGCAATGCTCAAGGGCGTGTCATTGCAAGGGGCAGGGGAGTTTGTGTGGGCAGGCCTGAACAGCTAGCGATTTAACCCCAGCAGTCTTTGAAGATGGCAGCCTCTGATGGAGATTTGTTTGATGTAAATTTGACCCCCAAACCACCCAAGCGTGGGCGCAGAATAAGAAAAGGACCTGAGTTATACAGTTTCATTGAAGAGAACAAACTTATAAAACCTTGTTATTGCAGATTCTGCAAAACATCAAATGGTAAGTAAATATGTTTTTATTTATGATAATGTAAATGGTGCTGGAGCGGATACACCGCTAATAGGATGTGCTTTATATTTTGCAGACTCTGAATTAGTAATACCTAGACAGCAAACACTTCAAGACACCCCGCTTTTAGATTCCTGTGGTAATCGCCATGGTCAGAAAGCTTCTGCAGATTTCTCTGATCTAGACTGTAACAGGGATTATGAGCTATCCCAGAGACCAAGCTATCTACCTTGTGAGTTAAAGAGCTGCAATTTGTGTAAAGACTGGTTTGCTTGTGACTGCGGACGTGATTTGTGGGGCTCAGACGGGTCAGAGTATTATAAAATAGTATTATCTTCTGATTCTGATAGTGGTGATGAGGGATATTTTTCTGATGGTGGAGCCGTGCACCCTCTGAATTCTGTATAACCAATAAAAGACTGTGTTAATGTCAACACTTGAACATTTGTCAGTGGTCTTTCAGTATAACGATGCATGACAAGCTTTTAAGTCGTATTTATTATACTCCGGGGTGTGTAGGGAGTTATGGAGGTGTGAATGCCCTTTTTCAGGAAGCTAGAAAACATGATAAAAACCTGACTATGAAGCAAGTCAAGACGTGGCTGTCAGGGGAAGACGCTTATACGCTTCATAAGCCTGCAAGAATTAATTTTCCTAGAAATAAAACAGTAGTGTCTGGCTTAGATCATCAATGGCAGGCTGACCTCATATATGTCTCCAAATTTTCTAAAGAGAATCATGGAAAAAAGTACATCTTAGCAGTTATCGATGTGTTATCTAAATATGCCTGGGCCTCCCCTTTATCTGATAAAACAGGGAGGGAAGTTACATCCGCTTTCCAGAATATCTTTCAAACAGGATGTGCACCCCGAAAATTACAGACAGATGCAGGTAAAGAGTTCTTGAATATTCCACTGAAGAAACTTTTAGCACATTACGGCATTCATCATTTTGTCACTCATAGCGAAACTAAAGCAGCCGTTATAGAGAGGTTTAATAGAACCCTAAAAAACAAACTCTGGAGATATTTCACAGCTAGAAATACCCACCGGTATGTGGACATTTTAGCAGATACTATTCAGGGGTACAATAGCTCTTACCATCGTAGCATCGGTACTGCTCCTAACACCATAAATTTGTCTAACGAAAGGGGTGTGTGGATGAGGCTTTATGGGGCAACTTTAAAAAGAAAAAGAAAGGAAAAATGTCTTAAGATGGGGGATCATGTCAGGGTATCCAGACTGAAGGGTAAGTTTGAAAAGGGCTATCAGCAAAACTATACGGATGAGATATTCATCGTCAAAGAACTGCAGACAAGGGGGGAAAGAGCGGTGTATAGATTAAATGATTACACTGGTGACCCTGTAAAGGGGGTTTTTTACTTTGAGGAGCTCCAAAAGGTTCCTGCTGACCAACAGCGCATATACAGACTAGAGAAAATTATCCAAAAAAGAGGGCGGGGGAGGCACAGAGAATTTCTAGTCAAATGGACTGGATGGCCAGAGAAGTTCAACAGTTGGGTTAAGGAGTCTGAAGTACAACATCTTTGATATGGCAGAGTTTTACATCACCCTTCCCAGCAATGCATCAGCAGCAATTTTCCCCCAAAACAGAAATTCTAATTTTACTATACAATTAGCAAGATCATTGGATCTTCCAGGGTCATGGGAAGTAGGGCTAGCAGAGATACAGTATCCGCATAGTTGGCACACATTAACTTCTCCTGGATATTTTGAAATTGCTAATGAGAGAAAGAGATGGCATTTTTCTTTGAGAAGCGGATACTATACTAGAATCCGACAACTGTTAGAAAATATGAACAAGCTTATATCAAGTGCCAAGGACGGCCCTAAGACAACCCTACAGTATGATGCAGTGGGTCGAAAAATTAACCTTAAAGGTGATGAACCGCATACCATTCTAGTTAGCGGAGAACTTGGACATCTGTTAAGTACGTTCCCTGGATTCAACACCTTATATGTTTACACAGACATTGTAGAGCTCCAGATAGTGGGTGACTACTATGTGCCATTACTGCGCTGTGTGCCTGTGCAAGGGCAAGACAATGATTTCATCACAATAACCTATGACCGTCCACATTATGTACCAGTCAGCAAACATCACATCGATACCGGTACTATAGAAATCAAAACCGACCAGGACAAAAACGTGCGTTTTTATAACGGGAAGGTGATTGTCAAGCTTCATTTTAGGCCTCGGAAAAGTGAAGGATGGTTGTAATCAAGGAGCACGGGAACCCTCAAGACTACGTGGCTTACTACAGGGCACAAGCCGGTGGAGGCCTTCCAGGCTTCCGAGGAGCCCCCATTATGTACGGGACAGGGTTAGGGGGTCTGTTCCGTGGGCTTTTTCGAAAAGCAATGCCTTTTTTGAGGCGTGGGTTAGAAATCATTAAGCCGCATGTGAAATCTGCTGCCAAAAACATTGTCAGAGATGTTGAGGGGAATCTTGTATCCCAAGTTGTTGATAGGGGGCAGGCTGGATCAGGGTTGTTCATAGCCAGGAAGAATTATGCATCGGGCCCGCCTATTCCGCTTAAAAAGAGAAGACTTGTTAAAAAGGCCCGTCATACCAAGAGGAGACGTGCGCAGAAGAGGAAGCTCTGTGACAAGGAAGACATATTCTAATACAATATGTCATTTATTCATTCTGCTTCAGAGGAATGTGTTAAATCAGAACTGGATCTTTTTCAACTGGCGCCTACACAGTATTGAAAACAGTACCTATGTCGAGATCCCTCCTTTATCAGCGCTAACACCCAACGCACCCCTGGAATTTTTTATCACGGGGCATGGTGAGCATTACACAGATTTAAACAACACTCTGCTGTATGTGAGTTGCAAGATTGTAAAGGCGGATGGGACGGATATTGATGATGGGGCAAGGGTGGGCCTGACCAACTACCCTATAGCATCACTATTTAACAAGCTGGATGTTACTTTGGGAGATCGGCTCATTACACAGAGCCATCAT